AATCAGCTAGTAAAGAATAATTCATCTATTTATGACCAAACTTTACTTCCTTACGAGAGTTTACTTAAATTACCAATACTTCATATGCTTCGAAGTCATATTCCGCATCGTTATTTTGCGGATTCAATTGAAGGATTGAAAATGATTTGATCACCTTTAGGTTTTCTATTCCTATGGAAAAATTTGACCGTATCTCCGACATGAAAATAATTCAAAATGTCGTTTGAAGTAAGATATTGACGTAGAGCACGAAATGCTCCATTATTTGGAGGTAAATGTGGTGCGATGTCTTGTTCACAAATTATACGCCAAAGCGTTGTATCGCTTTCATTATATCGCGAAGAAAATTCGGATGAAAAGTTACTGTCACCAACAGCTAGGCCTGCAAATGAATAAACATCTCTAAGAACGCAATCACTGCTCAAGATCCCAGGTAATTTCAATAATCTTGCATAAAACAATGTTGCCAAAGAGGCACCAAGAGAGTGACCGGTTATCCAAATATTAACACGATCTTTCTTATTCTTTCTACGAATATCCTTAGCTTTAACATTGATAGCTTCAATTATTCTCAAATGAGGAAACCCTTTTTTTGCTAATACCGAACCAGGGTTATCTTTTGGAAATAAACAGTTGTAGAATCCCTCATGCACTCCACCGAATATGAAACCTCTTCCATCCTTTCTTTGGAATGTAAAATTAACTACTAATTCTAAAAAATTTGTTGGACTTGTACCTTTAAATGAGACTACGATAAAATTGTGTTTGACACTCCAAAATAATCCTGCATATACGCCTTTGGAAGTGCCCAATTCTGATACAGATTTAAATTGAATATTCCAATCATTAACTACTTTACGAACTCCATTATCGGCGTTATCAAGTGCTTGAAAAACTTGTTCAATATCGGCTTTTTCAACATTCTCTTTATTTTTTAGATTATCTTGAATTTGTGATAAATGTTTTACTGCTTTACGAACTTCTGCTTCTTCACGTAGATAGACAACAGAGGATAGAAACAAAAGCGTTTCTGCCAAATCGAGATTAAAGAATGGTTTTCGTGAAGTGAATGTTGGTTTACCCAATGCTGCCATACCTCTTTCCCTAATTTTTTCTTATATAAGAAAACATTTATTAGATTGATATATGATTTTTTTGAATGTTAATTATTGAATATTTAAAAGGGAATAATAATTATTAAATAATTACTTAAGTCTTCAGTTGTTAATTTTTGCCATCCGATTTCGTCATATAAATTAAACTTCATTCCAATAATAGCCCCAATGCTTAAGTACAATGTTGCAGGAAAAAGAAAAACTATACTCGCCAAATAAATTAAAATGATCATTATGAAATTGAAAGGTTGCGTAATTGGAATAGTCCAATTGGTTACCATCATTAAAAAGAAGTGCATGAAGACATCTTTGAGATAAACAGCGAATGTCCAGACAGAATGAATCAAAGGTTCAAACTTTATTAAATGTTCAGGAATATAGGTTTCCTTAGGAATGGTGCTTAGATCTTTAATATATAATTGATCATCTATCGAAATTTCATCATTCATTTTAAAACTGCGAATGGCAGAGTCTTTTCTGTTTAAGAGCGATGATTCATTCATTATTTTACGTTCTCACTTATAATATTAACTAACGAGTTTTTTTATGAATCTTTAACACACTTGGCGTGTGAAATAAAATCCTTTCTAGAAAGTAAATTCAACTTTTAAATTATTAGTTGAGATCTGCAATAATAATAAATCAAATGGCACTTCCACGCATGAAAATTCTAAAAATGTAAAATATTTTCCTTATTTACTATGTTAAGACCGCCAAAATGCATTGTGAACATCGATTCAAATCCTTATAATAAGCATATGAGGATGCTTCGGTTGTACTGAAAAAAACAGATAAGATATACATTACCTTAATCGTTATTGGACACTTGTATCAGGTCCGGACTCCGTTTTCCTGTGATATCACGATAGTTGCCTAACTAAATTTGTTTGCTAACAATTTTTTTGTTATACAAATAAACAAACGTTTGCTAATGGTTATTGTTGTATCACTGCCACTATTTTAGATGCTAGAGAATATTCTTGATTACAATACTTTAGATAATATTTATAAAAATGGATAACAAAAAAAAAAAAAAAAAAAAAAAAAACAAACAATTGAAAAAGAATAAAATGACCAAATCTTTTTTTCAGGTAAATTTTAACACGGGCGTATCTTATATTACGTCTCGTATTTATTACGTCTAGTATTTTTATCCTACAAAATGCAAGAAAATGGCAAACGATATATTTCTCTTCCTGCTCCTTATATGAGACCACATTATGATGTTGTGGTCATCGGATCAGGATATGGTGGCGCTATTGCTGCATCTCGTATGTCTCGAGCTGGCAAAAGAGTTGCTCTTTTAGAAAAAGGTATTATTTATATGTCGTTCTTAATTATGCTTACATATGTAATTATGTGCATCATTACAACAATTTGCTTATAACAGTTATTGATCGATCATTCTAACCAGGTCTGGAAAGATGGCCAGGTGAATATCCAAGTGATTTAACTGAATGTTTAAAAGATGTACAATATAGTTCAGCTTCGGGACATAGGGGCGAAAAGACCGGAATGTACCATTTTTATAAGGGATCTGGTCAAAGTGCTTTTGTAGGATGTGGGTAAGTGTTAAGGATAATTTGATAAACATACCGTTTATGTAATTTGTAAACGATTTTCTTGTATATTATAGACTTGGAGGCACCTCGCTTTTGAACGCAAATGTGGCTCTTGAGGCCGATCCACGTGTTTGGCAAATGTCTGCTTGGCCAAAGGAAATTCAGGACGATTTTGATAGCATAAAAAAGAGTAAGTGCGTCACGTGAATTTATTGTGACGTCACAGTAATCGCAGTAATCGCGTTATCTAATTTAATTACTTTATGAAGATTATGAACGCGCCAAGGAGATGCTTGAACCGGTGCCTTATCCTGATGATTTCCCTGAACTTCCAAAACTTAAAACTTTAGAAGAACAGGCTAGAAGATTAGGTCCGGAATTTCATGAAAATTTTAAACGAACACCTATTACTGTCACTTTTGAAGATCGTATTAATAATGCTGGTGTTAGGCAACGAAAATCCACTTTGACGGGTAACGATTCTACTGGAGTTAATGATGGAAGTAAAAACACCACCTTAATGAATTATATTCCTGATGCTTGGAATCATGGATGTGAAATATTTTGTAAAATTGATGTTAAACGCGTTAAACAAGATAAGAGAAGTAAAAAATGGGTCGTGTTTTATGAATGGCTTGATGTATGTATTATTATTATTCACTCTTAATATTTAATATATAATGGTATTACTTACATTCTGCTTAATAGAAAGGACGAGGAGCATTTACTGAAGATAGTCGTAATTTGCTTTCTTTTGTAACTGCTGATCTTGTTTTTGTCGCCGCTGGTACTTTTGGAACCAATGAGATATTACTTCGTTCTCAAGCTAATGGACTTGAAATTAGTTCTCAATTAGGGCAAGGTTTTAGTGGAAATGGCGATGTGTGTATTTAAGCTTGCGTTTTAATCTTATAAAATAAAATTTGCCCATTTTCTCACTTTAAATGTTAATAATGTTTATAGATTTTGGGATTTGGTTATAACACTGATTTATACTGCAATGGTAAGAAAAATAATTTATATTATATAAATATGCTTGGTATGCATATTTTTCTTTAATAAAACTATTAATAATGATTTTTAGGAGTCGCAATGGGAAATATTAATCCTTCCGATTTTAAAGAACCTGTTGGTCCTACTATCACAGGTATTATTGACATGCGTAACTCGGGCTCTAATGTCATGGATGGATATGTAATTGAAGAAGGCGTGATCCCTTATGCTCTTGCCAATGCTACCAACTTTTTACTTAGAGCTATTGATGATCGCGCTGATGTAAAATTAGCTAATGAATCTAGCACTAGTGACACAAAGGCTAAAACTTGGAGAAAAATTACTTCTAGTGTTTCAAATTATAAAGGTGCTATGGCAAATACTCAAACATATTTGATTATGTCTCATGATGATAACACTGGTTACTTAGAATTACGTGATGATAGGCTTAGTATTGAGTATGATGGTGCTGGACTTACTAAAATGGTGAAAAATTTGAACGATATCTTAAAAGAGGCTACAAATAAGATTAATGGTACTTATATTCCATCACCACTATGGTCTAATCAAGTTTCTGGAAATGCTTTAATAACCGTGCATCCTATTGGGGGATGTAACATGGGAAAGGATGGTTATTCGAGTGTCGTAAATCACAAGGGCCAGGCACGTATTTAATAATAATAATAATAATAATAATAGTAATAATAGTAATAATAATGATAATGATAATGATAATAATAATGATATTAATAATAATGATAATAATAATAATGAGTTACTGTAAATCTGTTTCTTAGGTCTATAAGGGTGATGGTACAGAAGTTCATGAAGGACTATACGTTTGTGATGGATCAATCATACCAAAGGCTATTGGTGTAAACCCGTTCTTTACTATTAGTGCGTTGGCTGAAAGAATTTGCGAATTAGCTGCTAGAGATAGGCATTGGAAAATTAATTATGAGCTTGCTAAAGAACCAATCAATTTTGAAAAACCATCTGTTATATGGCCTCGTGAGTCTCTCGAACCTATTGATGTGAATTGGCCTCCTATAACCGGAGGTATTTCTTTTACTGAAATTATGAGAGGCTATTTTTCAACTGAAGTCACTACAAAAAATTACAAAGCTGCTGAAAGTGAGTGTGAATGTTTTAACCTAATTTTAAGATTTTATAAATCAAACTTTTTGGTATACTAATTAAAAACAAATATTGCTTTTATTTAATTTTAGTTCAAGCTAAATCATCTAATTCGACCATGTACTGTTTAGTTGACATAATCGCGTTTAATGTAAACTCACTTGTGGACCTTGAAGATCATTCCGCTAAAATTTCTGGTATCGTGTCATGCCGTGCGTTATCACCTGATCCTTTAATCATAGTTCAAGGAAAATTCCGCTTATTTGTGAAAGAAAAAACTCGGGTTGATGCAAATGCTATAATGTATAATCTTAACTTAGCAGCAACAAATGGATCTAAATATAGATTCAAAGGAATCAAACTCTTGGATAATAGCAATTTATTAGGTGCATTAATGGATGTAACCACATTATATGTTAGCATTTATGAATGTCATGATAACGACGATAATTTTGATGATGATGACGATGATGATCATGGAAGAAAAGTTATTGGCAGAGGAATCTTGACAATAAAAGCAAGCGATTTTATTACACAAATGGAGACGCTTAAAGTAAATTAAACACAAAATTAAATAAATAATATATATGTGTGCAGTAAATTAACTATAGTTTATAAAATTTTAGGCAATAGGCACAACAAACAAGCAAAAAACAGGCGCCTTTTTCAAATTTACCGGCTTCTTTGCTAGTAACTTGATACAACGTACCTTTACCAGGTTTCTTCCTTTGCAATATACTTCAAATGTGAATGCATTGACTCTTCAGTCCTTTGAAAAACCCAGGCCTGAAAAAGAAGAATTTACAGTGACAGCTGAGGATGATGTAACAACTAAATTATTTAGATATAAGGGTGGAAACAAGGGTCCTGTTCTTTTGGTAAACAAGATTTTTTTATTTTATTTATCACATTTATTTATCCAACTAAATATCATATTATATATAGGTTCATGGTGCATCAGTGACGCATGAAATGTTTTCAACAAATTTAATAAAGAATAACTTTTTGGACTATATTTTGGATAACAAATATGATGTATTTTTAATCGATTATCGCATTGCGCCAACAAATATTCAAAGTACTAAACAGCAAACTCTGGAACAATGTGTTTTGGATATTAAAGCTGCTGTAAATGAAGTTCGTAGAATAACTGGATGTGAAAATATTGCAATGATTGCTCATTGCCTTGGCTCTGTTGTAGCTTTTATGGGATTACTGAGTGGAGAGATTGAAGGCGTTAGTTCACTTGTTGCATCTCAAGTGGTAAGATTTCAACAAATTTTCAAAGATCGTGCCCCTTTTACTATATGATCGAGTAATATCTCTATTTTTTAGGGAATGACTCCAGGCGTTGGTTTTTGGAATCGTGTTAAAGTTAATCTCCATCTAGTTCAATTCTTACAAAATGTTCTACGCCAATCAACATTTGACGTACGTACTTCTCCACACACCACTTTATTACAAAGCTCTATCAATCAACTTTTAAGATTCTATCCAGTTCCACCTGGTGGAGTGTGTCAAAATGCATTATGTCATCGAAACTCCTTAGCATTTGGAACGCTTTATAAGCATGAAAATTTAACCCAGCTCTTACATGATAATCTTGATCAATTTATGGGAGAAGTTAATTTGACCACATTGAACCAATTTGCTAGTTGCGTAAAAGCTGGTGAATTGGTGACTTATTGGGGTGAAAAGGTTTATGTCACTGACGAAAATATTAAGAATGGATTGAATTTCCCTATTTTCATATTTCATGGAAATGATAACGTAGTGTAAGTTGAATTAATTTTTTTATTATTCTGCTTGATTAATTCCAAAAATCTTTTTGTTAAATCTTTATCATTTGCAATAGATATGATGTTAAGGGAATTAGAAAAACATATGAAATGCTTATTACTATTAATGATCCCACCAAATATACTATACGTCACATTCCTGGTTATGGCCATTTAGATAATTGGTGGGGTAGAAATGCTCATGTTGATGTATTTCCAAAAGTTTTAAGGCATTTGGAAGACACAAAGAGCGATTATGGTTATGGATATAAAGCTAAGTCGGACATAAATTACTAAAACCAGAATCGGCTTGGTGTTTGGAATTCGGAATACTTACATATTTTTAAGTGCAAATTATTGTTAGCCATTATTTACATATGCATGTTATAATAAATTGTTTTGGTTAAAATTGTCTAAACTCTTGGCGGTATCGTTATGCTTAATTGGCCCGAGACAATAGGGTATTCACAAAAATTACGGCAATTTATGGCAAATTATCAAAATTATAAATTACCGGTAGGTCACTGCAAGTTACGTACTATGACAGTAAATTGTATTCCGAAAGTTCCGTGTTTTATACGACCATTTTCAGTAATTTACAGGTATTGCATATAGTCGTACAATTAATGCCATGAAAGACATAATAAAAAAAGAAAAAGCGTATGTATACGTATACGTAGAATAATTTTTTAAAAACGCGTAGTGTATATGTATAAACAAAACTTGAGCCTATTTTACTATTTCTACTGATTGTAAACCAAAAAGTTACTATCACGTGATCTTAGATAAAATTCTTTAAAGCTTATTTAGGTTTGAGTTAGGGTCTATGTTAAGGTTTGGTTAAAAGGTTTTAATAGCAAAATCGCTCAAGGAAAATTTTTTTGTTAATGCACGGAAGGTGGCTTCCTATGCAAAATCTCGAGTTACATGCGATTTTTGACAAAACGAACGTTTGTTTTGAAATTTTCTGATCGTGTAACGTTACACATGATCTTGAAATCTGATTTGTTTAAAATCACGTGATAGTAACTTTTTGGTGGCGATACTCGCCAGGTCTACGGACACCGGACGATCTACGGACAGTGCATTCATGGGCTGAAATTCGTCTGATTGGCTAGTGTAAATCAATAGCCCGGGTAACTTATTTATACACTTTAAAGTA